AGAACTCTGCGTGGGCTCAGGGTATCTCAGACGACCCGCCGCCTGGGTACTATGACTCACGACCGCGGAGTGTTGCCTCAGGTGCCAGAGGCGCCCTCACCTCCGACGCCTAGCGGGACATGATAGTCTGTTTGTTTTCATTTCAGGTTTCAAGGCAACGGGACACTGACTATTTCTTCATTCTCCTTGGTAGGATATTTAACGCTGTCGTTGTATGCTAACCATCTGCATCATTCATTGAATACATTTACAGGATATCGCGTTTTTGGTGAGCCGTGTGATGTTGCCTGAAGCTCGTGAGGACTCGCAAGCTCTCAGTTGAGTCCTGGCCTGCATATTGGAGCGTTTTGCATTTGTAGATGTGTCCCTGCGACCGACCTTTCACTCCAACTACGGTTCTCAAGTCCTTATAGTTGTGGTACTCTAGGTCAGGCAGTCAAGGTAACGTCTCGATGCCGACCTGCAGTCCCCGACGAAGGCATCTAGCACACCAAAGCCTACCCTCACCCCGACCTTTCACTAATACCGCCTTTTCCTCTTCTGGATGACAGATATTCTTTTCAAACCGCCGAATTTCCCTCGAAACGGAAATAAGACCAGAGCGATGCCCGAATCGGGAGACTGTGGCGAAAGACCGCGCCTTTTTAGTGCGATTTTGTCGAAACTACTGCTTAGGAATTACTGATGGCATGGTGCTGGAGGGATGGAAGCTGCCCTCTACTACTTACTTTCCTCTGTTCTTCGCCAGCACCGTCTGCTTATGTAACCGCCTTCGGCGCCCTGGGAACGTTGATCGGGCAACGTTTTGTACACACTCAACACACACTCCGAACACTTGACAAATGTTACTTAGAGCAGCGTCGCACTGCGATTTGAATCCTTCGACTCAGTGTAGATTCAGGTATGTGAAGTTTGCTCGCTTTTCCCTGTCTCTTCGTCTGACCGGCCTTACTCATTCGGTGACTGTTAGTCCCTGGATACAATTCGACAACGTCTCCTCATGAATCGATGGCGATCGTCATCTTCTGTATTGTGCTCAGGGGTTGCATGGGCTTCTGAAGCCTTGCACGCGGAGTTCAAAATAATCCTCAACCCTCCTCCATCGACTCCCACCTAGTAGTTCGGACACTTTCGATGAACCACGACGCGGAGAACCCGACCGAAGCGAGACGTCGGCGATGGGGCAGGCTCTACATACCGAAATATCGGCCACGAGTGCACAGAGTTGGACTCTGCGTAGCTGTTGGAGTGACGTCGGTTGTGCTGCTTTTTTGGCCCTCGTGGAACTATACGATGCGCCATAGAGCTCTTACGAGACCGACGTTTCCGTACTACACTGGGGCTCATCTCACAACCGGAACACACATTCAAGGCGGCCAATGCCCTAGCAATTCCACGAACATCGCAGGAGAGATCTTTGGTGCGAATGTTACTGCGGAGAGCCTTTGGCCGTTTGCGAGCTCAGCCTCTGCCACGCGGTTCGCATATGTCTTCTACGCCACAGAGAAAGAGTATCTGTGCAGCGCAGTGAGTTCAAATACCACTTTTTTTTTCAATGCTTAATCAGCCGTCCATGTCAGCTGGTCAACTTCCGACAACTACGTCGCGTCAATGTTGCTGGAGAAATAGCACTGATATATCCCGCTACATGGGACCAAAAATACCCAGTGGTCAGTCTTCGAAACTTGTTTATCCAACCTTCAGATCTCTAAGGAATCTCCACTTAGGGATCGATAAGCACTACTAGAAGACTGTTGCACAGAGCACAACACGAATACCGAGTAAACCTGCATCCCGTAAAACTCTGGCGAACTGAAGAGGGAGAAAGTATGTTTTCTCTCTGACCACCCTTGTCTACATATACCCACATTGAGTCGTGTTTAGAGACTTGGAGCAATTCGCTAACGAAACTCCATATCTTTGGTTTGACCGACTACACAAGACTCATCTACTTGGATTCTGATGCACTTGTCCTCCGAAATCTCGATCATCTATTCCTTGCACCCCAGGCCCGAATTGCGTTGCGTAAGTATCCGTATTGAAGAGGGCGATCCTACAGCTGAAGTGACGCTTCGCAGCCCGAGCGTATTGGTTGGACGAGAAGGACGAGAAAAAGCTTACGAGTCATATCATGGTCATTGCACCGAGTGACTCTTTGATGTCGAGGGTCCAAGAATACGTCAAGAATGTCTCATCTCCTCCGTTTGACATGGAGGCGAGAAATCTGTGTCCTATTTATTTCTTCCTGCTAACATTCTAATAGATCGTCAACGCCTTCTCAGCGTCGTCAGCTCTGATTCTTCCTATCGACGGTATGCTCTACTTACGGGCGAGTTCCGGTGCTCCAATCATACAAGATACTTGGCCGAAGAGGGTCCCGGTGCCGAATGGGATCCATCAGTAGAACTGTCGCAAGCTTATTATATCCATTTTTCTGACTGGCCATTTCCAAAGTAAGTTCGCCATTTCTAGTCCATGACTTACGAGCCTTATTGATATCTCTGGCCGCCAGACCTTGGATGCGAGCCACTGGGGATCAGATTGAGAAATTTCAGCCTGAGTGCGATCCTAAGGAGAAGGTCAAATGCTGGAATCGTCGTACGTGTACACTTTCACCGTCTGCTGATGGGGTCTGACAACATATTTGGGTTTTCAAGAACACTGGCAGAGCGTATACGATCTGTATCACGCAATACAAGAAGTCTGCGTAACTTTTTGAATCCATTACTCATGCACGCACACTACGCCGCCATCTCTGCGCCCTTCTTCAAACCCCACACAAGGCCCTCCTTTCAGTCCCTGTCTCTCTATGCCCATCCCAAATCTAGCCGAATTCCGCGAAATTCCTTCCTGATCCAGCCGACTCACTACAAAACTTTCCTCGCCTTCATCCAAAATATCTGCAAGGTGGCAATGCTGGACAACAGCCTGTTGGGTTTCTGAGCTGAGAAATTTATGAGCGAGGTTATGAGCTGCCACATACCGCCTCAGCGTGGGCAGTCTGAATCACGACGACGCGGACTTGCCGGGATGCAGCACTTGCCAGTTGCTGAGTAATGCCAACTGCTGGAGCTGAAGCTCTGAATGGCCCTCAACTAGCCCCTTCATCGAGCGAGGAGACAGGATGAAACTGAGGTTGAGGTAGAGCGGTATCAGCGATATCACCGGCGTTATTCGAGGCAAAAGCAGTTGCCGCGGTGGGATCGTGCCATCTACGACGATGGGTGGGCCATCCACCTTGATGGTCTATACTTGTTCCTGTTTGAGCTGCAAGGAAGCGCTCAAAGGGGCTTCGAGTTCGTTGAAGGGTTGAGGCTGTCGGCGCTCCTGGCTAGCAGGCGCAGATGGAAGTATCTGTCGTATACGATCCATAGCACCCTCCGGCCAAGCAAGCCGACGATGGTGGATAAGAGGAAGCACCCAGCATGGGTGCACGTTGCGTAAACAAGACGGACCGCATCCACCACCACCTTATATCAGTGACACGTCGACTATCATTGTGGAACTATTATGTCTCTCTAGAGAGACTAGTCATCCGCCAGCCTCTTCACTCTCGCAGGGCCCAATTCGAAAAATGCTTCAGTTATTTTAAAGTCTATCCGCCGCAACCTCACTACCTCCATTTTTATCGACTGACAGCGTTGCTGAGCAGATGCATCTCAATATACCGCCCACTCGCAGTTGCCAACGGGTTTCTTCACTTTCCTGGTAGCCCTTATTGCCAGATAAAGCTGACATTGGGTATGAGACACCAAGAAGCCTATGTTAACAACTTCCCCCTTGGTGTAACCATCCATGGCGAAAGCTTTCTGGCGAACTCGTGCTTTGCTCGCTCTCGTTTGTTTGGCATCGGTATCTGTCAACCCTCTGGCCATGCTCGTCAATAGGATTATCGATGACGCGTACGGCGATTCAGTGACAGGCTTCAAACCGATCTACCTTCCTGAAAAATCATCAAAGGTCCCAGTCAGCGCTTGGTGGAATCAAAACGGCATCAACGACGAAATTCAGCTAGATATCTCTAGGGCATTCAGTGGCACCTACACATCAGCAACGTATTACCCAGAATTCATAGATTATGTGTCGATTGCATTGGAATTCCACGGCATGTCGGTTTTCTCGTATTTCTGGGTGAGGTGCTGATGGCATGCACTACAGGCACTGCTATGTGGGTTTTCTTCATAAATGCCAACAACGCTGGACCGAGTGTCACCACAAGGACGATTGCGAACTTTACCATGAACAATGACACACCAGTGCTGTATGAACACGTTCCGGACCCAATGAAGACAGAAGTCGACTTTGACGTTCCGGCATACTCGCGAGACGGTCTTGATAACGCCCAGCATCGACTGATCATCTCAGCCTCTGGCGATAGCAAAGCTTATGTGAATTTCGACTACGCTATTTACTCGTGAGTAAATGCGAGTGCACCATTCCTTATTTATGTATGTGCTTAGTGTGCCTCCAGATTTGAGGAAGCGGGGATTCCTTCCGCCACTAAATCCCATCCGTCTATTATTACATCCGCCACCTCCTCCATTTCACAGGCCTCAACGGTCACCCAAGGCACATCCGACATGAACACAACAGGCTCGTTTTATCCCGCCCTTCCAACAGTGACTATAGAAACATCTAAGCATAGTAAGAGTCAAATCCGGGCTATAGTTGTAGGAAGCGTGGTAGGAGGTCTGGCGATGGGACTTGGGGCTTTTTTGCTCTACGCCTCTTTGTC